GTTTGTTAAATCTTCCTAACTTGTGCCTTTGAATTTAATCAGCTGCAGATTATCTTAAACTGGTTGTAATCGTGAACTTATACACTGAGAAACCAAGCGTTAATAAAAACAATGCGCTTAGACCAGAATGGGCTGAGATCTCACATGGACCTTCCAATGATGACTCTAGTAAATGCAACGACATCCTATACAAAGAAGTTTAAATCAGTCATCAAATAATATGTAACTCAGCCGTAAAGTATCGTAAGTCAACCCGTATAATATATAAATCACATAGAATAACCCAGCCGTAAACAACTTAACTCAGCCGTGATGTAGACTTCATTATCAAACAGACATCCATATTCATTGGTTGGCCACTGCAGTCTTTCAGTCATGAGTATTCTGTAGAAGTCACCCTACCCTCATCGTCAGCTGTTCTTTTAGATCATGTATGTTTAACTAGAAGATTCATAATGTGTCTCATAAGTTTATCCAGTTTGACTGGATCAACAGTTGCTAGAGGATCATATATTTCTGCTGAAAAGTTGAACATTATTCCTCATGCACGTCGTTTCAGTACCTCCAATATACATAAAAACTCGTGTTGAAAGAGCACATGCTGGCATCACTTCACACCCATTTGGAGATATTTGAATATCTCACTCCTGATAATGTTTTATTCTTTCAAATCTAATCATTTCCTATTCCTCCAGATAAGACTCTGGCAAAAATTCGTTTGCTGCTGTGAAAAATTCGTCGGTCCCATCTGCAAGTTCACTGTCATTTTCAATCTTCTTCTTCTTCTTCCTAAGAGATATTCTTATTACACCGGCATGCGTTGTCCTCTTTGGAGCAGAGATCTCCTTCTATAACTCAACCGCGTTTCACTTCTTGGACTCAACCTCCTTCTTAGCAGGTTCTTGCTTTTTTAACTCCGTCTATTTTTTATTTAATTCAACTGCTTCCTTTTTTTTTTATCTCAGCCACCTCCTTCTTCTTAGAAGCGGTCTCTTTCTTTTGTAACTTAACCACATCCTTCTATTTTAACTCAGTCACATCCTTCTTATTACCTCGTCTTCTTTCTATTTTGGATTTACCATGCAGCCGCCTCCATAAACTGGGTCTCTAGCAGGAGATCTAGTGACGAAATCAAGATCAGTAACCTTAGCAGCTGTTGCACCGCCATTACCAAACTCCTCAACCAAATTATTTTTCACCGCTGTAGCCTTAGCAAGCTCCTCTGCCAAAGTCTTTTTCGCCCCCGAATCCTTACTAGGGGTCATCTTAAGGTGGACTATTGACAGACTTTCGCAGTGGCGGTGATGGCAATGGTAAATATTTTTGGGGGACTTTTGAGAGGTAATCATAGTTTTTGACAGTTTCCCGTACTCCCAGAACTTTCAGACGCTCATCCACTGGAACTCTGACTAATTCAGCAATGGTATTCTTATCCATATCTGGCACGTTCTAGGCTAACTCACAAAAGTTGGAATCGTAGATGGTTAATTGTGAGTCAATCGTTTCAAATCTACCATCATAGTTCTCTAATTTTATGGAAATATTCTCCAGAGTACTCATTATGCTTTTCAGAGCCATATTGTTCCCCATATCTTTCCTACCTTCCTCCTCGCTAGCACTATATCCCTTTGCATCAGCTTCACCCTCACTCATGTTTACTTCCTTCTGTTTCTTAACTTTCTTCTGTTTCTTAGTGGGTGGGCTCAGCCTTTGATGACGCTCAAGCCTCCATTTTTTTCCTTTTCCTTCCTTTGCACTTCCTAAGAACCTCTAACAAACCTATCTACATGTATGTTTGTTATCAAGTGGGTCGACGATCTATATCTCTATGATAACTATTGCATAGCATCAAATCCCCTCCAAACTATGACCTCGTGCTTTTAGTTGCAAACTTATTTCTCCATGTAATGATAGTTTGAAACTTAATTTCTCATAGACGCCGGTTTTAAATCTGTTTACTGAGTTTAGTTGGTTTATTATTCTTAACCAAACAAATTAAAATCATCTAAACCAAACAAAACTCAAATTTTAAATATAATTATTCTAAAAAACTGATTATCTTTTTCACATGTCCCTTTCTTCTCTTCCTCACAAGTGCCATAGAGGAACTGATCTGACGACACCTCTCAACATATATTTGATATGCTTGGTAATTGGGCTGTCATGACTCACGAGTATTGTCTGGCTTATTGTCCATTTATACCTGAAGCATTTTATTTTAGATCCGAGGACGGCTCTCAAAATGCTGTACACAGGTTTTTATCAAAGAATTAATCAAAAATATATCTTAACTCTTTCTATCTTCTATCGTCTTCTTCCTCCTGCTATTCTTATGATTTCTTTTTTCATTTCTTTCTTTAGTTTCTCACCCAATTTTTGTCACAAGTCAGATAAGTCAAACCATGAGTTATCACTATGTTTACACAGCGAGGCATTTTATCCTTTCCAATGGAAAATAATCTGATTGAGATGTTGATGAATCAAATGTTGATCATTGTTTCAGCTGGATTGACTTTCTCGTTCTCGAAATTTTTTTTTTGGGTTTTTGTTTGGTTTAGTTGATTTTAGTGTATTTGGTTAAGAGTAAACCGATTAAAACCAATAAATCAATTTAAAATCAGTGTTTATGGTTAATTAAGTTTCGAACTATAGTTTCGTGGAGAAATAAGTTTTTCTCCACAAGTTTGCAACTAAAAGTTCATCGATATCTAGCACGAAATCATAGTTTGGTGGAGATCTGATGTTATATGATAGTTATCGTTTGGAAATAAATCGTTGAATTTATCAAGTTAATGAGTTGTGGGTCATCTATTTCACCGGACCACTGAGGAAACATCACTTGTACAGAGTTCTTCATAACCATTTTCCGCACACGCACCTGTAACAGTAACTCATAACTCAGCCTATAAATAACTCATAACTCAGCCTATAAATAATCATAACTCAGCCATGAAATAACTCATAATTCAGCCACCATATACTTAATAACTCAGCCATCAAAATCGAATAAGTCAGGCATCTACTAAATAATAACTCAACCATAAAATACTCATAACTCAGCCATATATAGTAATAACTTAGTGTGAAACCTTGCCTCGCAATGATCTCTGATCTCCTCTGAGATGACAATAGCAAAACTTGAGCGTGTACGCATTCCACCCCATAAAAAAGCGGAACTTTTTGTGAATTGAACACTCTCTCAAAACGCTCTTAGAGCAAGTGACAGATTCATACGCCCAAATCATTAACACGTACTTCATGCCACTTATGGAGTACGAACCTCCTTATTGATTCAATATTTTAATTGAGTCAACAAGAATTCATATGCAGTCTGACCCCATGGATACATCATCATGGCTTCATCGCCGAGTAGTCTTTTTTCACTTTCCAATGGTATCCTAGAAATTCGATGCAAAGCATAAAGTTCTATTGCTTGAAGAAGTAACAACCCTAACCATTTACGCTTTTCAAAATTCCATACCAGACATACTTCTAATACTGCCCTCAGTTCATTAAACTTGGGTCTCATCCCAAGTGGCACATTCAACTCCTCCCAAAACGCTTTGTATTAATCAAGTTCAAAACTTTATGTTGGCATTGGATTTGTGTTTAACCTAGGGATCTCACCAAATTCGTGTAAGCTAAACCTGGTAGGTTGATCACCAACAAAACTCCAAAGCTCTTTCTTATGTACTCGCAGCTATCTACATAATAGATAGTGTACAGCCCTATCAGACCACACACTTTTGCGTTCGGCTAGCTTAACAATTATTCCATTAAGAAACTGCTTCAGCTGTTCCCAGACATCTCATTCTATTGCTTCTCTAACATGATGGAATTCTCCCATATGGATATTGTGATTAATCTCTTTATTTTTTAGAGTAGAAGCCCCTTCAGCGTAAAGTTTTGGAGGGTAATCTCGTGCCATATCTTCGGAAACATTCATCTGATCATAAAACACATATATAAATCACCCACAAAAGAAAACTAACTCAGCCTTAACTGTAGTAATACCTGAGTCGCAGTAAAAAAATAACTCAGCCACAAAATAATATATAACTCAGCTGTAATAGAAAAATAACTAAATCACAACATAATATATAACTCATCCATAATAGAAAAATAACTCAGCCACAACATAATATATAACTCACCCGCAATATAAATCAAATAAAGGCACAACGTAAATCAAACTCAGTCACAACATAAATCAAACTCAGCCACAACATACCAAAGAAGATGATTTTGTAGATATGATTGTGGCGAAGACGATTTCGTAGAAACGCTTGCGGAGAAGATGATATCAAAGAAGATAATTCGAGACAATAACAACAATGTCGACTTAACGGTTTAAGCGACGAAGAAAGAACGTTGTGTTTTTTGTAACACTTGAATTATGTGACGATTTATTGTCTTCTCTCATTTAATCATAAAAATTAATGACTTGAATAAATAATTATTGACGTGAATTTGTTAATTAAAAATATTCTCAACTGAAAAAATAAACAAAAATCTTTATTGTAATTTATTAGAGGCACATAAATATTCTCTTAATGTAAAAAATAATTATACTATTCTAACTTATAACAACTTTTCTATATTATCTGAGTAATTTTCTCATAAATTAACATGTCATGCGTATAGTCATGTGGATATTTTTTCACGAAATCCATATAGCATTCAATGGAAAGATACAGTCACGTGGTCACGTTGCTTTATTGCTGGCAATTTCTGTCAAATCGTTTGTTTAAACGTTTCTATAATTGACCTCGTGCAGATTTTAAAACATTACTTTATTTTTCTGTTACTAAAATAAGGGAAATTGAAACCTCAGAAATGACCACGAACCATACCAAGAAATGTTTTTTCTTTTTAACACATCCATACCAAGAAATGTTAATGTTTAACATTACTTGAATTTGACATCTATATTAATGCTTGTGCAGCTGTGCTTCTTCATATAGTTTTCCAAGTAGATTGCAAATCCTTTTTTCATTGGTATGAGGAATTTTAGATCATCAGTTCTTGTGGTGCTAAGTCTGATCATAGTTACCAATGTCGCACGAGCGAGTTCTGAGAGCAAGGTAAATTTATCATCTTTATCATACAGCAAAAAGTAGAAGAGAGACTAATAATATGTTATATATGAAAAACATTTGGTTGTGCTGTAATGATAATCAAATAGGTTCATATAGTGTATTTGGGTGAGAAGCAGCATGATGATCCCAAGCTTGTCACAGAATCCCACCACCTTATGTTGTCTTCCCTTCTTGGAAGGTACACAGATGACTGATTAACTTTCTGGTTCCAATGGGTCGCATAATGTCCCAAGCTCTAAGAAGAGTTTTAATTTTTGTGTCACAGTAAAGAGGATGCGCATGACTCAATGGTGTATAGTTACCGACATGGATTCTCAGGGTTTGCAGCAAGGCTCACCAAGTCCCAAGTCAAGAAAATTGCTGGTACTCATTGTTGTCCCAAGTCCCAAGTCCCAAGTATGTTTTTATTGATGGTGCACTTCATTTTGCAAACAGATTCCCCTGAAGTTGTTCATGTCATGCCGGATGGTTACTATGAACTTGCGACAACTCGAACTTGGGACTACTTAGGCCTCTCTACTGCAAAACCGAAGAATCTCCTAAATAATACAAACATGGGTGGTCAAGCTATCATTGGCGTTGTTGACACAGGTATGAGTGGATTTCATCAAATTGTAGATTTGTCTTTGGTTCTGTTGCTTTTGATTCCTTTATTTTAGTTCCTCAATGACCTATGGTTATGTATCCTTCTAGGAGTGTGGCCTGAGTCTGAATCATTTAATGACAAAGGAGTTGGACCAATACCGAACCATTGGAAAGGAGGATGTAAACCAGGAGAAAATTTCAAATTAACTAATTGCAACAGAAAACTCATAGGAGCAAAGTATTACATCAATGGGTTTCTTGCTGGAATCGAAGGATTCAACTTCACAGAATCATCTGACTACAATTCTGCTAGAGACTTTGTTGGCCATGGAACGCACGTAGCCTCTACGGCGGGTGGTTCATACGTTCCTGACATAAGCTACAAGGGACTCGCTAGAGGAACCTTGAGAGGTGGTGCACCTCGTGCTCGCATAGCAATGTACAAGGCTTGCTGGTATCTAGAAGAGCTAGGCGGAGTGACTTGTTCATCTTCTGACATTTTGAAAGCAATTGACGATGCTATTCATGATGGTGTTGATGTTTTGTCACTCTCTCTAGGTAGTCAAATTCCTCTGAATTCCGAAACCGATCTGCATGATGCGATTGCTACCGGAGCATTCCATGCAGTTGTAAAGGGTATTACGGTTGTTTGTGCTGGTGGTAACGCTGGCCCATCAGCTCAGACAATTGCAAACACGGCTCCTTGGATACTAACAGTGGCTGCAACCACTCAAGACCGGTCTTTTGCCACGCCTATTACACTGGGGAACAAGAAAGTTATATTGGTAAAGCAGACTATGCTTTCACTTCTTTTTTCTTGACAAATGTTTCTCTATTTTTTGTCAACCCTAGAAACAGAAACTCTATGATTATGTATTTCCCCCTGTTACTTCAGGGTCAAGCAATGTACACAGGCCCAAAACTTGGCTTCGCCAGTTTGGTTTACCCAGAGGATCCAGGGAACAGTACTGAGACATTTAACGGGTAAAGATATCAATACCTGGCTTCTTACTTACGTACGAGAGTCTTCAGTGTTATAATTTTGTGTAAGAAGCTTTGGTGTAATGATTACGTCTAGGAAGAATAACCTAGGAATATAATTCTCTCATCTCTTACTGAATCTGTAATATTTTGTAGTGACTGTGAGTCCCTGAAGTTCAACTCCAACCGTACAATGGCTGGGAAAGTTGTGCTGTGTTTCACAACATCAAGACTTTACGCCACTTTATCGAGAGATGCATCTTTTGTGAAAAGTGCCGGTGGTCTTGGCCTGATCATCGCAAGATCCCCCGGGTACACTCTAACTCCATGCAAAGATGATTTCCCATGTGTTGCCGTTGACTACGAGCTTGGGACAGATATACTTTTCTACATTCGTTCCACTAGGTATCATTTTTGATCTTCACTACTTACATCTCAGTTGTTTTGTTACACTTCAGCGTGCTGGAATATTAGAAAATGTAATATGATTGTAGATCACCTGTTGTGAAGATACAACCATCTCGAACAATGGTAGGACAACCTGTAGGAACAAAGGTGGCAACTTTCTCATCAAGAGGGCCTAACTCTATCTCTCCAGCAATTTTAAAAGTTTGTCCTGTGTCCTTATCTTTTTACCCCTATTAATTAATAATACCTTTAATGTATTCAAATCGTAAGAAATACTACTTTTTTCCCACGATATAGCCCGACATAGCAGCACCAGGAGTGAACATATTGGCTGCTACATCTCTGAATGCCACCAGAAACGCTAGAGGGTTTGCTATGCTTTCAGGAACATCGATGGCGGCTCCAGCAATTTCAGGAGTTATTGCACTTCTCAAAGCTTTGCATCCTGATTGGTCTCCTGCGGCTTTTAGATCAGCTATTGTCACTACAGGTTCTTATCTTTTTTTCCAACCACAGAAACAACAGATCACTTGAAACCCTCTTTAACTCAGTAACTGTCTTTGCATCGTAGCTTGGAGAACTGATCCGTTTGGAGAGCAGATAACTGCAGAAGGGTCGTCTCGCAAAGAAGCTGACCCGTTTGATTACGGTGGAGGCCTTGTGAACCCTGAGAAGGCTGCAGATCCAGGTCTCATATACGATATGGGCCCACAAGACTACATTCTCTACTTATGCTCGGCCGGTTACAGCGACTCGTCTATCTCTCAGCTTGTCGGTAGAAGAACACTCTGTGCAGACCCAAAACCTGTATCTTTCTCATTAACCGTAAAAGTCTGTTACAAGCAGCTATAAATATAAGTTGTTAACCGGTTCTAACCGAAATACAATTGATCTTAAATATATGTACTAGACCAATATAAACCGGCTGATACCCCCCCTCAAGATGGAGGTGGTGCATAGATGTCCAACACACCCATCTTGGAAATGAGATCCCGGAAAGGAGAAGGATAGAGAGCTTTGGTGAGGACGTCTGCGACCTGATTACGAGTACGAACGTGCATAGTCTTGATCATACCATTGTCTATGCGTTCACGAATGGTGTAACAATCTTGGTCAACATGCTTCGTTCTCTCGTGATATACCGAGTTGTTGGCAATGTGAAGGGAAGCTGTGTTGTCTCCATACAAATGTGTAGGCAACGACACAGGAACCTGCAAATCAGCCATGATCCGAAGCATCCATTCAATTTCACAAGATGCATCAGCAAGAGAACGAAACTCTGCTTCCGCTGTGCTTCTAGAGACAGTGCGTTGCTTCTTAGATCTCCATGTGACAAGTGAGTCTCCAAGAAACATGGCATAACCAGTAATGGACTTGCGTGAATCAGGACAAGAACCCCAATCCGCATCAGCAAAACCACGCAAAGCAAGAGAACCATCAGCTGCATAGAAAATACCCTGTCCTACAGTGCCTTTAAGGTACCGAAGCAGTTTATGAGCGGCTTGAAGATGAGCTTCACGCGGGGCCGATGAGTACTGACATAGCTTAGTGAGGGTGTAAGCAATGTCAGGGCGAGTGATAGCCAAATACATCAATCTACCCATTAATCTTCTGTAGACTTTTGGCTCAAGCAGTAAAGCTCCCATCCCATGAATTACTTTAGTGCCATCTTTAGGAGGAATTGTCTCTTTAGAAAGCCGAACTGTAAGATCAAGAGGTATAGAGGATGGTTTACATCCAAGGAAACCAGTATCATCAAGTAACTCCAAAATATACTTCCTCTGGCAGATAGATATGCCCTTCTCAGAACGAGCAATTTCTAAACCCAGAAAGTACTTAGCTTCTCCAAGATTACGCAGTTTGAAATGTGATTCCAACTCACCAACAAACGCATTAACTGCTTCATCATTGTTGCTCGCAACAAGTATATCATCAACATACACCAACACTGCAAGATATCTACCAGCATCATTCTTCACAAAGAGTGTATGATCATCTCTGGACTTTGTAAAACCCATCTTCAGGATAGTTGAAGACAATTTCAAGTACCATTGCCTAGATGCCTGTTTGAGACCATATAGAGATTTGTGGAGGCGACAAACAGCATTAGGAGGCACAGAAATACCTGTCAGCTCTTCATATCCAGGGGGTAGCTTCATGTATATCTCCTCGTCTAGATCACCGTTGAGGAAGGCATTCGAGATATCNTTCTCTCTTCAGTACCATCAGCATGATACTTTGTTTTATATAGCCATTTACACCCAATCGGCTTCTTTCCTGATGGTAAAGAACAAACACTCCAAGTTTTGGTCCTTTCCTGAGAACCAATCTCCTCCTTCATAGCATCACACCACAACTTGTCTAAAATTGCCTCTGAAAATTTTTGAGGATCTTTTGTTTTGGTAATGGAATGAATAAAGGAATGAAAAGGCTCAGATAAAGCAGAATAGGAGAGAAAATTTGTCATTGGGTAAGGAGTAGACGAAGGAATGGAATCATTCTCAAGAGTATAACAGTAAAAATCCTGCAAATTTGAAGGTTGCTTCTTTGAACGTGGAGGTCTGCTTCCAGAGGGAAGCGAGACTTTAGAGGATGACACATCTTGATGTTGATGTGTATCAGAAACCAATGGTTCAGAGAACACATCAGTTGGCTCAGCAGGAGAATAAGCATGAGGAAAGAAATGTCTGACTTGATCATTTAAAGATGATGAGACAAACGGAAAGATATCCTCATGAAAAAACACATGTCTAGAAATCGAAACAGAGTGTGTCTCTATGTCTAGAAGCTTATATCCTTTGTAGCCAGTAGGGTATCCTAGAAAGACACAGGCTCTAGCTCTAGGTTCGAACTTAGTTCTACCCTTAGGAGAAGTACTAACATAGCAAAGACAACCAAAAGATTTTAAAAATTCATACTCAGGTTGTTTGTTAGTCAGTTTTTCATAAGGAGATTTGTTGTCCAAAACAGGTGATGGTAAACGGTTTATTAGAAACACGGCAGTTAAAACACAATCACCCCAGAATTGTAAAGGAACATTCGATTGAAATAACAAAGCCCTAGCAACATTTAGAATGTGTTGATGCTTTCTTTCTACAACAGAATTTTGCTCAGGAGTTTCAGGACAAGAATGATATGCAACAATACCTTTAGCAGCAAAAAACTCTGTAAATTTCAACTCATTTGCATTATCAGATCGAACAGCCTTAACAGAAACTTTATATTGATTCTCAACCATTTTAACAAAATCAGGGAAAATGTTTATGACATCAGATTTAGCGTGCATTAAGAAAACCCAAGTGGCTCTGCTAAAATCATCTACAATGGTGAGAAAATACTTAGATCCGTCTATAGTAGGTTCAGCAAATGGACCCCAAGTATCAATGTACTAGATCAAAGGCATGAGGACTAATGTTCTGACGAAGTTTAAAAGGTAAATGTTTTTGCTTAGACAAATGGCAAACATGACAAGCATCAGAATGATCTTTATTGATTTTTGAATGTGGTAGTTGCAGAACTTTTGACAAAGATTGAACTTTAGATTGAGAAGGGTGACCGAGTCGTTTATGCCAAGTGAAAGAATCTACANTTTTGCTTAGACAAATGGCAAACATGACAAGCATCAGAATGATCTTTATTGATTTTTGAATGTGGTAGTTGCAGAACTTTTGACAAAGATTGAACTTTAGATTGAGAAGGGTGACCGAGTCGTTTATGCCAAGTGAAAGAATCTACAACCACAGAAACAGACGACATACCTTGAAAAGATAAAGTTCTATGCTTATTCTTGACATCCAATATGTATAAATTGCCAACTTGTCTACCTTGACCAATCATCAATGCCTGAGTAAGTTCCTGGATTAAGCAATCATCAGCAGTGAAAGAAACTTTAGAATTCAATGTTTTGGTTAAGACACTAACACTCAACAAGTTAAACTTGAACTCAGGAATGTACAAAACATTGAACAAAGTAACTGAATCCGTCAAAATAATAGTACCTACCCCAACTATGGTGACAGTATAGCCATTAGGAAGAGTGACATAAGTCTTATCTAAGGGTTGGTAATTTGTGAATAACTGCCTATCATGCCTAACGTGATGAGTGGCTCCTGAGTCTATAATCCAAGCTCTAAGAGACACATCTGTTTCTTTTGCAGTAGACGAAATGAGCATGTCATGATAAGAGTGATTGTAAAGAGAAATGAAGTTACCAGAAAGACTACCAGTGATCTGTGAGATCACCGGAGTGTGAGCTGAAGGCGAAGCAATAGCAGTTTCAGTTGTGGAGGTGACGCTAGGAGTTTGGAGTTGAGAACTCAGATAAGAGATCATAGATTGGAGTTGATATTTGGAGAGAGAAGTACAGGAAACATCTTCATGAGAACCGTTGTCCACGGTAGTAACCGGCTGAGTAATGGCCATGTTAGCAGAAGCAACAGAGGTTGGCTTCTTCCCTTTGTACATACCCGGGGGAAAACCATGTTTCCTGTAACATTTATCAACTGTGTGACCAAGACGAGAGCAGTAAGAACACTTCTTCTGATGATAACCTCCTCCTCCTTGAGTTAGTAACGTGTGATTAGGCTCTGAGGTTACCGTTTCCTGAACTTGGAAAGCAGCAGGGTGATTAGTCACACGAGGATTCGATCCTACACTTCGTTGACTCTCATCTTGATCCAGCATGTTATATATCTCTGGGAGGCTTGGCCGAGGCTTCATGTTGAGGATTTGACCCCGTATGTTGGCGAAACTCTCATTAAGCCCCATGAGAAATTGAATAATACGACTGGTTTCAGCTTCCTCCATTAACTCCTTGACATGATCACAACTGCATCTCCTTGCTGTGGTGATTCGAGTGTTAGATAGTTGCTCCCACAGAGTCTTCTTTTTAGTATAGTAAGTGGACAAGTCCATCGAGCCTTGCTTCAAGGTAGCAATAGATTGCTCCAACTGGTACTTCCGTGGGAGATTACTGACTCGAAACCTTGAATACAAATCATTCCACATCTCCACAGCATCATCATAATACAGAATACTGTCATATATCTCCTGATTCACAGTATTCAGCAGCCAAGACTTAACCATACTATTGCATCTACTCCAGATTTTGAACATCGGATCATTCACTTCAGGTCTAACTAACGTCCCATCCACAAATCCAATCTTATTCTTTGCATCTAAACTCATCCTCATAGCAATGTACCAATTGTTGTAGTTACTTCCGTCTAACTTCTGATTTGCTATACTTAAACCAGGATGATCCGCAGAATGCAAAAAATAGGGACTATGAGTCTCAATCGTCGTCATACCAGAGTGATTTGATCCCGGGGGAACACGGTTAGGCGGTAAATTCGACGGCGGAGCAACATCATCATCTTCATAAGCGGAATCTTGAGATCTGTTGCGCCTCGCCGAAGTCTCCGTATCGGAAACTGAGCTTCGAGTCCTCATCTTCTTTCCTTGCTTCACCATGATGTAGATCGAGAACAGAACTCAACAGAATCAAAATCGGAAAATCAAGAAACACCGATAGCGATGGATTTTCACGATTTGAAACTTTAATCGGAGCTCGGAATCAACTGGATCTTCTCACCGGAACAACGAAAACGAAGAAAAGAGTAGAAGATGAAGAAAAAATCAGAGAAAACGAGCTGGAATTGCTCTGATACCATAATAGAGATTCAACATCACGAGAAAGATGAAGAAAATGGAAAATGTATCTTTCTCATTAACCGTAAAAGTCTGTTACAAGCAGCTATAAATATAAGTTGTTAACCGGTTCTAACCGAAATACAATTGATCTTAAATATATGTACTAGACCAATATAAACCGGCTGATACCTTCGGTTTTTAATATGAACTTGCCTTCGATCACAATTCCAAACCTCAAAGATGAATTCACCCTGACCAGAACAGTTACTAACGTTGGACCAGTTAATTCTGTCTACAAAGTCGTTGTCGAGCCTCCGTTTGGGGTTAGAGTGGTTGTGACGCCCAAGAAACTAGTGTTTAGCTCCAAAATCAAAAGGGTCTCCTTCACGGTACGAGTCTTGACCACACACAAAATCAACACTCGGTACTACTTTGGAAGCTTGATTTGGACTGACAAGGTGCATAACGTGGTTATTCCTGTGTCTGTGAGAACACAGATTCTGCAGAACTACTTCGATGAGAACTGATGTTTTAAGGATCTTTATTATGTGTTTGCAAAAAGAAAGGTTGAATAATCAAAGTTGATTTGGCCCATTTGGGGATATTTAGGGTCCGACTGGTTACAACGCAGCGATAGCGGTTGCGGTTGCGGGCGTTTGCGGATGTGGGTGGTTGCGGTTTCTAGCGTTATTAGGCGATTTGTACGACTGGTACAGCGATTAAAAATTGGTCCGTTTGCGGGACATTTATGACTGGTTGATTATGAGATACTACAGCGGTTCAATAATAAATTTCCAATATT